CATGAAGCATTTAGGCAGCAGAACTATAAGTGGATCAAATAAGGAAGTGGAGCAAAAGAGAAAGTAGACCCAGCACAACAACTACTAGCTATTTTATTTTAAGTTAAGATATATTATAGTAGAGGAAAGTAGTTATAGTCAATGAAAGTAGTCACAGTAGAGGAGAGAAAGTAGAACACAAAGGTGATTTTCGCTCGCTTATTTCTATCTAAGAAGTTCTATACAAAAGAGTGCGCGAATACATGATTACATCGAGAGAATACGGTCCAGCTCCATCTGAGCATCCTGGTCCCACTCAACCTGACTGCAGTCTTCCATTGGTGGGAGATTTACGTACAGCCCCATGTCCTCGGCAATATTGCTGAAATAATCGATATCTCCAGGGATGGGAAAGTCGAGGCCGAAGTTGTCAAGGCCGAAGCCGAGGTCGTTTGATCCAGTAAGGGCGGGAGCCTGTTGGGAGTCCTGGATCTCCATTTGAGGTGCTGGTACTTGTGCTTGTGCCTGTGCTTGTGGTGGTGGAGGTGGAGGTGCTGTATATGCATTGCTTGGATGCATCTGGTTGAAGTTGTTTAATTCAGCGAAGCCAGGAGCCTGTTGGTAATCCTGGGGGCCCATTTGAGGTGCTGGTATTTGGACTGGGGCTTGTGCCTTTGGTGGAGGTGGAGGTGCGCTGTATACATGGCTTGGATGCATCATTTGGAAACTGTCGTATTCATTGAGTTGGAAAAAGGCAGTGTCTTGGAAGTCAGATTGAATGACCTGTATTCGGTTAGCTTGTGGAACCCAGTAAGCGAGAAGCGGTTGTTGTGTTGACTTACCTGTTGGGGTCCTGATGTATTAAATTGATTTTGAGGTTGGGTTTGCGTGTTGTTGGCCATGTGGAATCCTTGTTGTTGGAAAGGTTTGAAGGATTGGGAGCCAATGGCCTGCATCTAGTTAGCTGGAGGGGGTTCAATGAGTTGGAAGGACTCGATGTATTGACTTACTTGTTGATGTCCTGGTGTAGTAAATTGAATTGGTTGTTGGACGTTTGTCGTGTTGGCCGCTTGGAATCCGGTTGATTGGAAAAGTGTATCATATTGGGAGGCAGGTGCAACAGTCTGTATCTGATTAGCCTGATGTGATTGAGCGTGTTGGAGAAAGTTTGTTTACTTACGTTTGGTGGTGAAATATCTTGACTTGGAGGTTGGACGGCCTGTTGTTCATGTGGTGTAGTAGATTTGGGGACATTGTTGACGATCTACAATTGTTAGTCTGAGGGCACACAGCAGGTTTGGATGGTGGATTGGGTTGACTTACGTGTTGTTCATTGGCGATGACTGACTCTGTGTTGACCTCATTACCCCGGGCGATATATGTTGGAGGTCTACCCCTTCCACCAGCCTTAACTTTCTGGATGACGACTGGGACTGGAACCTTTGGGAGACGTTTGTTTTGAATGAGAGTCATTCTATTCTGGACATTATCAGGTAGGAGTTTGGCGTAAGGTAGTAAGTCACTAAATAGAGTTCTGAGTTCCTCGTTTTGGAGGCTGCTTTCGGTTATGAACTTCTCAGCCTCTTTGGCGTAATCAACATATGCTTGAAGTGCTATTCCTTTGCGCTGGCGAGTTTCAGAAGCCGAGATGGCGTTCTTTACCTGTTTTTGGGTCTGCGCAGGCTTAGGCTTAGTAGCAACGATAGGCTTGATTGGAGACATTGCTGTCTGTGAAGAGATTGATTGAAAGGCAAAGGTGGAGTGTTGATTAGAAGAATCTTGGGGTAAGAAAAGAGGCTGTTGTAAGCTAATGTTGGCTGGATGATTCTGGATTCTGTGGAGAAAGAAGAGGGCATCTTGGGGCAGAATCCGAAAAATATATACAAAATCTACATCACTAATATCTAGGGCAATCACAGAGCTAAATGAAGAAAACAAGACTAATGTAGTATCACGATGATGAACTCAACGACCGCGATCGCAGCTAAGTTGTACCGGCGGTCACTAGAAGCTGTTGAGAATTAGACCACGATGGGGAATTCTAGCATTACCAGGACGACGGTGTTGGTGCCACAGCTTGTTGAGCTTTTTGGTTTTGGAACTTGGGATAGTAGGGGAGCATCAGTTAAGAGAATACAGTGAAGCAGACGTCGATTATGATGTTTATTCAGAGAGCTAAGAGGCATCTTGCGAGAAGCGTAAGTCTCAGATTAGCGCACTTTACTGCTGCCGAGAATGGAGTAATTGAGCACACACTTGAAACTTTTTCACTGGAGAATCCGCGGTCGTTAAATAATTGCAGGTCTGAAGATATATTGGAATATTTCCTACAAAAAGTTGTGATAGATAATAAATTCAATTCGTTGATGGCACAGTTACTCACTCAAGCCTTCATACTGCCAAACAACGTCCTGGCAGATAACCGTCTACCATTAAACGGCCGAAGTGTGGAGGCCCCACCAAGAAAATGACTATGACGATAAGTTCGTGGCGCCGACAATCAACGGTTTTCCCAGAAGAACACAGACTTGGACTAACAGCCGTTGGGGTGCTAAGTCAAGCGCGCGGTCCAGTCCGGAACTTAATTTTAGTCAACTTTAAGCCAACGACATACCTCTGTGTAAACAAAACAACAATCAGGATTCCGGAAAAGGATCACAAGGTACTTTCCAGCTTTGGGGGTGACGGAGCAGAAGCTCGCGATGAAAAAGAGTCCAATATCACCCTATAGCAAAAAACGTTGATTGGCATATAAATCGCTTGAGGAAATCGACAAGGAGGATCAGGATTCAGGTTCGATCTCTCGATCAAAATTGGTGAAAAAACTTCACGACTACGCAATACAAGCTATTTTCTCAACGTTTGAAATTGGCTTATGAGACCAATCTTTCTAGTGACGATGGTCTGGAAGGGAGACATCAGCCATGGTAGGACGTGGAAGCATGTGAAAGTCCCCAGGTGGGAAATTCCGTTGTAAGTGCAGCAAGAAGCCTCGATGATACGTTTAATTGATTATAATTGTGATATATGGCTCAATGAGAAATCCAACTCCGCGACGTGATATTTTTCAACAAATTTCACAGTTATACAACTGTGGCATTATCGGAGCAGGTAAGAGTATGTCATTCCCGTCTAAATACAGGTCCTGCGTTGATACAGCTACTTGAGCAAAAAACGAGATGGAACATGGGTGAAGGGGACGCGAGGTGTGAAATTCCCAGTCAAAACTACGTCAAGCGTTGACTACCGTTGGTTTAGTTGTGCGCGGAAAGAACGAGGCGCAAGTGGGAGTGATGAGGTATACAACTCACCCGCAAAACAAAACAGGCAGAGACCATCGATTTAGTTCCTTGCCCAAAAGACGGAGGATGATACGATCGTCGATCGGGAGCGTGGGATGATAGAGAGGAGAGAGAAGAGGGAGGATGAGGGAAAGAGGGGAAGACTGGGATAGGTTGTCCCCCAGGGCGTCACCGTTCTCGTTTATTGTCGATTGAAATTGCCATTGAATGGGTTCAGTACCGCGGCGGCAGATCAGGATTTTGGAAATGCAACGGAGCGTAAATAACAAGATTTAATGATATGTGACCACATGATACGCTTTTGGAATACATGAGACTTTCCCAATCATTGCCAAATCACCTCAGTCTGATGGTATGCAATCACCCCAGTATTGTTCCCCATTCAGGTCCAGTATAAAAATGTGCACCCAAATTGTAATTTTTGACTAGAAATAGCATAATACGTGATCCTGAGCATGTTCAATCCATGCGTTGAGTTTGAAACTCTCACGAAAAGCGACTTTCAGGAGGATGGTGCTTTGAAAACCCACATTTTCAGTGGACCCACTGTCTTGTGCATGTCTTGTTCTGTCCATATGAAATCTTGGAAAAATAGAAGCGAATATTGATAAATACCACAATGCCAACAGTAATCATCGCTTCTCTTATACAGTGTTGTATTGGGCACCCAAAGACAAATAGAAATAAATATACTCGCTGCGAAACAGAGATGAGTGGGTGAGTAGCCCCCTGATTTGCGAAATATTGTCAAGCAAACAATCCTTGTTCTTCTTGTTTCAAACAGTCAATATCAACAACCAAATACCCGTGAATACTCAAAGTAATTATCCAAAAAGATTTGGGTCGATTACTTTGAGTATTTATACAGAATGAACCATGTGGCAGTAATTGACGGCCGCTGATTTCAGTTCATGATAAGACGACTGAAAGTAGGTACTCATGCTCAACAGTATAGCAGATGGAGCTTTCGACTCATAGCAGTGTCACAAATGCGGATGCGCCTGTCGGACAAGTTTATATCTGCAGACTTGGTTCGTACACCAACTAATCCATACAAGACGAAAGATAGATGGCCCTCCGCCTTCGTGAACTTCCTTTCCTTCCCTGTTCCCTCTGAAAATTACTCAAGCAATACATCAGGGGACCAGTTCCAAATTTCCAGTGATCACTTTTAGCGAATCCTCTCTGAAACATTTACAACATTCAATTGATTTCCAAAAGCAACAATGATCCCGGATAACCTTCAACCGTACGACCAGGTTCCAAAATATCGGTAGCTACTGAAGCTAGCACGACTTGGAGGCTGAGAACCAAAGCCATGAAGAGACGCTGCTGCGAAGAGTATTGATCATAAATCCCGCGACCCTAGCAAAACAAATTACGTGATACCCGTCATCGAAAGTACCCAAACAACAGTCCTGCAATCTTCAAGAGAATCCAAAGGCCATAATGCCATGTGGGACAAGTGAACGACTGCAGATATTCTTCTAGATATAGCCTTAGTGGATAAAATCATACAATACACGCTCTTGGCATGATCCATTGAGCCAGCGTATACGAGGTATTCGCGTATCGGACGTCTGTTCCACGTATCAGACGTCTAATATGCGTATTAGATTTCAAGTTTTGCGAGCGTATTTAGAGCTAATTTAATCAAATCGACCTGTACTCCTAGGTTGTTTTAATTTATTGGACTAACCTCAGCGCTTGTATCGCTGTAGCTGCTTATCCACCCCCTTTATCCTATATAATTAAGGGGTAAAGAAATGTATCTAAAGCCTAGGAATGTCTGTTATATACAGAAACTGTACTGTGCGTACATAATGCTACTGTAAGGCCATTTTTTAGTGCTCGAGAGCCTGGGAGTCAGAATTTTTAGTAACTCGCTAAGTACTGTAAAGGTTGGGAGTGGCTAGGGAGTGATTAAGGGGCTGGGGACATTGCACAACCAACTTTTTAGTAGGTAAACTAGTACAACCTTTGGGAGTATAAGAATTTGAGCCCCTCCTTTGCTTTTACTTTCTAGACTGTAGGGTAAAAAGGTAGTTCAGGGGGTAGTGGTTAAAAAAAGGGGGTGCGTAGTAGTACTCGAAAAGGTGCTGGGAGACCTAAAAAAGTGGGTCCAAAGTAGCTAGGAATGTCCTTATCTTTTTGTATTTTGTACCCCTGTACGCATATTCTTGTACGTATATACAATATCAAAGCGAATCGGCGTATTTATACGCGGAATTAATCAAATAATCAAAGTATCGTCTAATACGCATATTAGACGTCCGATACGCGTTTACCTCGTATACGCCGTTCCAATGGATCAGGCATCCCTGAAAGTTCTAAGCGAGAAAAAAAGCTGACAAAACTCGCCAAACAAATACAGTAGCAAAACTCGAAAGTTCAAAGCAATCGACCATACTTCAATTCATCCCAGAATCTGCCTCCAGTTCAACGCCAAAGATTCGTAAAGCCTCGAGATGCAGATTCGTAGAATTAATTGCTAACAATAAACATAATACTTGGTATTTGGCAAATGCAGACCACGTGACTTTCGGTTTCTTTCATTTTGCAAAGATCAATTGATTGCCGCGTCAGCTCCTTGCTTGCGGATTTGGTGGAAAGATTGTTTGATCCTCATATTCATATATTGACGTGGTAGTTAGCTTGCTTCTTTTGCATAATCCATCCATAATTGGATTGATCAAAAGTAGCTCCAGTCTTTCCAGTCCTGATTGTCTTGAAGATTTCTTTCCGCCAGCGTCACATAACCTAAGTTGTCGCCTCTCCATCTCTCCTACTGTTTATAGAAATCAAGGATTGTTTATTATAGAAGATGCTTGAAAGAAATCTCTCTGTCGACTTACAGTATTCAACTTTCAATCGCGATTCGCTAAAAAAAGGTCAGGAGATACTTGGTGGTCCTAATGGCTACCATGTATGCATCGCTCCCAATACTTTCCGACTAAACAGAGCGCAACTCACGAAAGAAGAATCTCCTCTGAAGTCGAAAAAAAAAACAGCGCGTTCACCATCGCAGCTCACGCATTGTATTGTCATGAATGTGCTGCGTTAGCACGCATACGCTTACCATGTCCCTGATTGAGACTACATTTAAAATGTGAATGTCGACAATTGACACACCCACCACCATAAGCTCGCATGGCCGGTATAGCAGCATCCGTATAGACGATGCATTCCCAACGATTGACGTCCTAACATGTCTTGCAGGCGTCATCACCTACCATTACTATGCCAAAATTCGTCTCACACATTGGCGCTATATGCCCCAATCTCTTCGCTGATTTATCGCTCAGACTTGATTACAATTAGCGTTGACTTGAGAATTGGAACCGTGAATTGCTTACTAACCTAAAAAGCTCGGAGGCCTGTACCACCATCTGTTTGGAATCACCGCTTGGTAACGATGGGGTTTGGGTAAGAAAGAACCGGCCCGTGGCCAAGGTCCTCTTGTGATTTCGAAATCGTCACGTTTCCAACTATTCGGAATGGCAGAGTCAGCTGGAGGAGACTGCGAGAGGGGGCGAGGAGGCGAGTGAACCAAGTCAGTTGCCGACGTCTTAGAGGGCTTCCTTGCTTTTCTGAGGGTATTGATAATGGCGTCTGTATCGTCACCGAGGTCGTCTGTACTATCGCTGATATCCTCCGTCTCGTCGCTGATACCGTTCGTAATACCAACTAGAATCGTGCCACCACAATCAAGCGACCCCGCGTTATCGTAGTCGAAAGCTTTCTTCTTACCGCGCGAGCTAATTTCTTCTTGGTCATGCCCACCTTTTACTTCTGGAGTACCAAACTCGCTTCGTTGATTACCAGCAGCGATACCAGTAATTCGCTCTAGCTCCCAAGAAGTTGGCATATTGATCCCTCTAAGACGACAGAACACCTCGAGCGCAGACATGATCGACATCTGAGGTGTACGCTCATTAACGCCGGTCTCGGCCTCAGTCTCACGTGTGAGAGGCTGCCGCCTGATGTTATGGCCTCCAGACATGGTGGACAAGAGTGAGGAGAACTCTGTTAGAAGAGGGTACGTTGTATTTGAGTGTGTGTAAGATGATGGTACGCACAGCAGTCAGAACAAACATCAAGGTTTGTTCCGTCGCACCATATATAGCTCCTCTGGCGCTGTTTCCAGAAAAGTTGTATTTTCAGATGAAGAGCAGGAGTGTTTTGTTCGGACGCCCAGATACGGCATCCTGATTTCACGCTAGTCGGAAACGACTAAATCGCAAATATGGGAAGCCTGATTAGGTGTTCTGCCTACCTAGGTACCAGTTTGTGTTTGTTGCGGAGTAAGGGATAATCAGGATGCCGTAAGTTACTAGCTCTCTGAGACCCGCTATTCAGCGGAAACTTCCAATTAAAAGACTGCAATGTAATTGAGTTACGAATTAGCTTTTTGTACACTGTATTCGAGCTAACGATTGGCACATCTGAACCTTTTCTAGAAACCACTCAGGGGAGACTGTATATGTTTTCGAGGCTTACAATTGGACAACTCGATATTTCTTTGGATGAAGTACTGTATTGGGAGTGAGGCACGGTGGTTTGATATGGGCCAAACTTTCCATGTTGTGGTTTTGGAGGGCTAGAGGTCATGGTGCAGACAGAAAGGGATGCTTTCAGAATCGGATAGATCATTGTCTACGACTATCTCTGGCGTATATTGCAGGGTTTTATGTTGCTATTTCTTCTGAAACCTCCGCGCTTGTTGTGATATAGCTTATACAATCATTCGAACACGTTGTGGATCCTGCTCCCTTTTCCCTGTTACTACTTAAAAGAGAAGAGTACTCGTATGTGACAACCTAGTTTCGACAGCGATTTGAAGTTGTCGTAGATCAGACCTCGAATTTTTGGAAGGACAGGAAAAAGCTGGCTTTTTTTCCAATACATAACAGAAAAAGAGAACAATCGGGAAACATTCAAGAAAGAAAGACTGGAAAATCAATGACAACAAAAGCTTGAGAGAAGTGGAAAGAAAAGAACAACGGCAGCACTACTACCAATTAAGTTACAAATTTTGTTACATTCTGTACAATCTAGCTGCAACTATGGAGGAGAATTGCAAGACTAGACTCATATCTATGCAAGCGCCCTTACTTTTGGAATTAGATCACTTTGATGTGACCTCAAAATCGAGTCCAACGCCGATTTCTCAATAATAACCCTCTTCAGTGTCAGCAAATCCTTGACATCCACTTCGTGTGCAAGCTCTATCGTCCCTTGTTTCCCAACCTGCTCCATGGCGGTAAACAAATTCTCTCGGTAATGCTCGGTGATCAAAAGAGATCTACCATCCTGTTTGCCCCAGTGGTTGTGTTTCATCATCTCCTCGGCGTAGAGAGGCACCAGCTTTTTGTGAAGACTACTTTTCAGAAGTTGCTCTGGGTATTCGAGATCCATTCCGTTTTCACAGATGATCAGTTCGCCCTTCTTGTATCGATGGCTCAAAGCTGTTCTCCACGCCAAATCGTACATTTTTCGTGGAAGCTCCGTTGCAAAATCTCTAGGATGAGGACCGAAAGATTTTCCACCTCCTCTCAACATTGGTGATTGCCTCGTACCAAGACGGGCTGACCCAGTTCCTTTTTGTGGTCGAATCTTTCTGTGGGAACCACGGACTGTGAAGCGGGTTTTACTGCTTGCGGTACCCTGTCTTGCGCTGTCTCCTTCAAAAACGACGGCTCGGTGGAGGATATCGCGTCGCATGGGGAGATTGAGGTATTTGCTGGAGTACTCGTGGAAGCGCAGCGGTTCCATGGTTGGGAATTTGTAGATAGTTGCGAGGACCTTGGGTGCTGGATATCGTTATTTAGCGCCAGCGCCGCTGTCATTTATGATACAACTCACGAGTATAGAATGGCTCTGTAGCAGCTTTATCATTCATTGTGACTGGATCATATTGCTGGGTATGGCTTGAAGGCAATGGAGCTTCTGTGGCCATGGACCTGGTGAGACTTGGGGCAAGGCATTGCTAGATAAAGTCAGCGCGCTGCAGGTGAAATTGAATTGATTTACGCACCGTGAGAGGATCCCTTGAGCCAGAGTATAATCGTAGAGAGCCTAGGCTCTTGGACAAGCCTTGCAGTCCCTTTGCGGCCATACTGTTGTGTATAACCGATTTCTCCAAGCTCGTCGTCGTCGTCCTGTGGGCCAAAAAGTCCGGGGATGAGGCTCAAAAAGATCCCGAGCTCGGGCGACAAGCTTCGACCAAAATTATCCCTGCTGATTGCAACCTCGACAAATTTCAGAGCAGCATCACCAGAGACAACCACGGCAATTCAGCCATGTCTGCGACTCAGAAAGCTTCCAGGCCACTGGCGCGATGTCTCCAGCAATCCCAGTCCCCGAAGCTATCCGTTAGGACAATTCGATCCTTCTCAAGCTCCACTCAGAACAATGGAGAAGCCGTCGCAGCTGTCGAAAAAGTGCCCGATTCGTGGGATCCAAATACAGTCACATCGAGAAGGGGAGAGCGAGCATTGATGAGGGATGGTACTATGCCAATTGGTTCCAGACGTCGTCGAGCGGCCATAAAGACATCCGATAATATCCCATTCGAACAACTTCCTTACCAATGTTTCCAAGAAGCCCTCACGGGTTTACGTGAAGACAGGGGTGAGAAGTTAGAGTTAATTAAAAGGGAAAGGCTACGCATATCAAACCTCCAAGCGCAGGATGCTTCCACAATAAAAGGGGGCGAGGCGCAGAAGGAAACGAGACTAGACAGCATGAGGAGACACTTGGAGTATCTAAAGATTCAGGCGGACATAAATGATCCCCTGATCAAGAAGCGCTTTGAGGATGGCGAAGGTATTTCGAAGCATAATCAATCTTTGGTGCTTGCTAACTCATGCCCCAGGGGACATGAACAAGCCCATCTACCGTTACATGGCAGATAAACAATGGCGTAAATACCAGCGCCTCCTTATCATGCAACGTATTGAACAACTCGCCATTGTTCCAGATGTGCTCCCACACTTCGAACCTACAGCCGACGTCCGTCTGGCATTCCGCCACAGACAGGTACAACACGGAGAATTCATCGACTCCCGAGTTAGTGAAGTGCCATTACGAATGAAGGTTCAAGTCTTCGATAAGGGTGAGAGACTTGTTAGTATTGTGGTCATCGATTCAGATGTGCCAGACGCAGAGAAGGATGACTTTTCATCGCGATGCCATTTCTTAGCAACCAATGTGCCCTTGAGCCCAACAACTTCAAGTATCCCATTGTCCAAAATCGACCCGGAAAAGATTGTCATTCCATGGCTTCCACCATTTGCGCAGAAAGGGTCTCCATACCATCGCTACTCAGTTTTCCTCCTCCAGCAAGAAGCTGGTCAGCCACCTCTCGACATCAAAAATCTTTCGAGGGAAAACTTCCGTCTTCGGGCGTTCAAGGATAATCACAAGGTCCAGCCAATAGGCATGTCAGTATTCAGGAGCATATGGGATGAGGGAACCGCTGGTGTGATGGCAAGAGCGGGTATCAAGGGTGCAGATATCGAGTTCAGGAGAAAGAAGGTTGTTCCACTGAAGCCTAAAGAGAAGGCGAAAGGCTGGGAAGCAAGACACGCAAGTGCCAAGTACAGACAGATGTGGAGGTAGTAGCACGGTATGTTCCGTGAAAGTGTATATTTTGTGTATAGAATATGTACGACGTACGACTGAGTGCAGCTTTCGCAGCTATATAGTGAAAATACCCACCCGTCTTCAAGTTCTTCCATGTCCCATCAAGTCAGGCGGGTCTCTGGATTTTCATCTGATAGCTAACAGGCATTGGTTCTCTTCCAGGTTTTCCTATTGGGCTTCTGGTTCTGGACAACCCAGCCTGCTCTGTCTCTATTGTGCTTCTAGTCAATTCATCACTCGCTCAATTTATCACTTGCTCAACTCATCACTTGCTCAATTCATTTCTAGTCACTTGGGGCCTTAGTCTTTTTTCGCACGATGAGCAAGAACCTCTTCTATTGGACCGAGATCCAGTAGCGAGCTGGCATTGTTCTTCTCTCTTCTTTCTTACCTCCCAAAAATGCCGATTCCTATTCCTCTTTTGGCACTTCTATGTGTCAGTGACTGGGAAGTTTGGGGGGTTGGGGGAGCGTGGTGATAGGTGCCCTTATTTTGGGAAGTTTATAGTATGAAATGGTAGTCTACTACAGAATGGGATTACATGAATTGTACTTCGAAGTACCTCGAAGTATCATCGTAGCCAGTGGGCGATTTGGCGGTCCAAAAGTACATTTATGCGTTTCTGATTTGAAAATGTAATAAACAACCTCATCACTTCAAACACATCTTAGTTTGAACGTTCAACTGGCGCACATCATCTGAGCAACATCAGTATCTCTAGGCACGCTCTAGCCAGTTTCCTGTTGCCCCGTGTTACGGGCCGTCCCATTTACTTGTCCCAGGGACATCACCACCTCGCTGTCTGTTCCCCGGCCGAAACTCACTACTACCTAGTCTTGTAAGATACCTCCTCATTACTCTTATACAATATACAAAAAGTTATTATACCAAGCATCTAGCATAAGTAAAACTATCATATTTGCATACCTAAATCAAAAAAGTTAAGCGGTAATAATTACTCAATTTATTCTCAACTCTTGATAGAAGTATTTTAGTTATACGACGCTTTTGGAATATTTTTATTCTCCGAGAGGTATGTCAGGTATGTACTGTACATAGTAATGACCACGTCTCTTTCTGATGGTAAATTTGAGATAATAGGTTTTTTGGAGGCACTTTATATAGCGTCTGGTATTTTTTCTTTGTCTTGCGTTTTAAATGACGGATGAGATGGAATGTCGTGAAATGGTGGAAGGGAATAAAGAATTTTATGGATTTTGAACAACTTGGATTTGAGCCAGGTATTATGCTTTTCACCTTGAATCGCGTGATTGGAAATGTGATAACCTACCTATTAACCACTTTCTTGCGTAAGCTAATGAGCTCCGTCATGGTTCCCAGGCTATCCCGAGTCAGAAAGAGTTTCTCGATGAGGAGATGGATAGAAGTGTTCATCGATTGATACCACGATGCGTAATGAAAGAAGTAAAGTCCTAACAAATGTGATCAGGCTTGAGTATGTTCTACTGCCGAATCAATCAAATCCTTCTTCGGGCTTCTGGGAATTATCTCAACAGTTTACATAAGTGCTCAATTGCGGCTGTGTTCCAACATGGCTAATAAAGTCATATCGCTTTCATTACGATTCTGCGCTTGCCTAAGTTGTTTACCATAAAGTCTCTCGCTTCTGGACGAAGGGGTCCTGTTTTGAGGAAGAGAGTAACGCTAAATATGCGAGCAAAAGGTCAAGGAGATGTTTGGTTTCATACCAATCCATATGGGAAGATGTTGTCCGGATTTCGCAGATTATAAGCGCCTGGTCGTATTTTAATTTGGTTTAATGAGAAAGGGGTTGAGGGAGTTGTAACTTGCATCGTTAGTTACTGAAGTCCTTGATATTGTCTTTTTGATTTTTAACCTGATCACATGGCCCATCATGGCAGACCATGGGGAACTCTGCAGGTGCAATCAATGAGTTACGGCCTATGTAATTTATTACATCTCGTTTCCCTAATCTGGGAATATTTATATTGACTTCAGAAATAATCCTATACATATCAACGCCCGAGCAAATTTAGAGGTTTGATTAAATTTTAGCACGGCATATAATTTTTCAACCGCGAAAATAATGATTGTACTAGTTACTGTCTTGCCTTAACGTTGATATAATACTAAATTACTTAATTTCTCCAGAGATAGAATAAATAGATGGAAATAGCAAAGAGGAAATAATAAGTTGGTCAGAAAGTGGTGTATTATCTAATATATTGCTTCAATAGTTACTAACACAGGCATGGGAGTTTGTAAGTATGCACTTTCTGTAGATGTTATCCCTCAAGGCAGATTCCTAAACGGGAAAGTTATAAACAATCCAAAAACACAAGAAATCTCGGCTAAATTTGGCCAGGCTTTTGTAACCTTACCTTCCCTGGTCTCTAAAACCTCACGATCCTAGCAGAAATAACAATGAGGTAAATTCTTGGAAGTCTAATCTAACCTGGTTATAAATGAACATTGAATAGGAAAGGAAAATTGATGATAGAGAAAATGTGATCAAATGACGGCAAAGTAAATAGTGCTGCCTGAGGCCGGAAGGAGTTCATGCCACAGAGTGGCTTCTCCAGACCCACTTCCCCGCATCTCTACCCCCGGCAATCTTTCCCGAGGTCCATGGCATGGATTGGTGCGTGCCAGCGGTCTACATTGTACAAACGGGTACTCGTAAGACAGTTTTAATTCATCTGCATGATGACCGTTCCCCTTAATTCCTCTCATATTTACTTTCAGGTGACATCAATTTTGTCATACACGCGCTTTTGGAGATTCTTCTCGTTATCGAGGCCTTTTGCAAAGCTCTACACCACTTCTTTACTTATTAATCCGTTAAGCCCCATTCTACCATAATGGCAGCGGTTAGGATCGCCCCACCGGGAGGTCTTTCCCCCCCTAGTTTTGAAGGAGTAAGCTAATAAAGTATAGAGGGCCGTCCGGGCTATGAATCTTCTACGTACAGTTCAATATACACATCCTCCCTCCTGTCCCTGCCACGGCAACCCCGCTCATCACCACCACCACAAACCCTCCTCCGGTCTTCTCGCTCACGCAAAACACAATTTACAAAGAAATTATGCCACCCCAATTGATGCTACTCGGCAGAAGGAGTATGCCTTTGAGATGGCCGCTTCTTCAATTCGATTTGGACCTGGTGTTACAAAGGAAGTTGGAATGGACTTCAAAAACATGGGCGCGATACGGGTTTGTGTGGTGACGGATAGTACAGTTAGAAATTTGAATGCTATGAAACAAGTTGAAGAGGGTTTGACGAGGGAAGGTGTGGAATATACGATATTTGACAAGTGTAGAGTTGAGCCAAAGGATAGCTCGTGGGTTGCACCATTGCTTCTGAAATTGCATAGCTGATGCTTGTCCAGGATCAAGGAAGCTATTGCTTTTGCAAAACCATACCAACCTGACGCATTTTTGGCAGTGGGAGGAGGATCGGTTATTGACACGGCAAAGCTTATGAATCTCTATACTTGCTATCCGGATGCTGATTTCCTGGATTTCGTCAATGCCCCACTGGGTAAAGGTCTGCCAATTGACAAGCCGCTGAAACCATTAATTGCCGTCCCTACAACTGCAGGAACTGGCTCGGAAACAACTGGAACTGCGATCTTCGATCTCGTTTCCAAGCGGGCTAAGACTGGAATTGCTCACAGAAATCTCAAGCCCACTCTTGGAATATGCGATCCTCTGAATACACGAACGATGCCCTCGGCAGTACATGCTAGCTCTGGATTAGATGTGTTGTGCCACAGTCTTGAAAGTTGGACTGCTATTCCATACTTTGAGAGAACACCAAGACCCACGAATCCAATCAATAGACCTGCTTACCAAGGTGCTAACCCAATTAGTGATATTTTCTCATTACAGGCATTGAGAAGTACGGTGAAGTATCTCCCAAGAGCTGTCAAAGATCCGGAAGATCATGAGGCACAGAGTCAGATGTTGTTAGCTGCCACATTAGCAGGTGTTGGGTTTGGAAATGCTGGTGTTCATCTGTGTCATGGTATGTATATTAACGTGCTTCGAAAAAGGAACCTCAGCTAATTGATGACTCAGGAATGTCATACCCTATCTCAGGTCAAAATCCCGGATACAAACACGCAGGATATCAAGTCGACTCGCCCATCATTCCACATGGTGTCTCGGTAGCCGTCTCCGCACCAGCTGTATTCCGATTTACTGGGCCTTCAAATCCGGATCGTCATCTGGCTGCAGCAGAAGCATTTGGCGTTGACATTTCAAATGTCAAGCAGGAAAGTGCAGGAGAGGTTCTGGGAGAAGCTATCGAAAAGTTTCTGGCTGGATTGGGTGACCAGCCAAAGGGGTTGAAAGACCTTGGGTTCAAGAGGGAACATTTGGATGATTTGGTAGAAGGAACGATTCCACAAGCGAGAGTGCTAATGTTGGCTCCTGGGTTGGCGGCGGAGGTCAATGAGGAGAGAGAGCAGTTGAGGAATTTGTTTGAGGATGCTATGGAGCATTAGGTTGGAGATGGAGTCTGGTGTAAATAAAGGCAAGCGTCAGAGAGCTCTGTACGCTTACATAATCTGGACATATTAGTTAGGGTCCCAATACACTGACGCCCCGGCGTCAGTTTAGAGCTGACTAAGCGCGGGTTTTCACGCCCCCCCACCACCGAAATGCGCGCGCGTCGCATTTACATCTACCAGCACTGTACTTTGGACTGTAATCAATGCACGCCTGACATAGCTACATAGCGAAAATGGACGTTCAACTCTCGCTGTCGCCACTGCCCTTACATTCACCTGAGCAACCACTTGAGCCAGCGTCAGCAGATGCCACCCCTCATACGTCTATGCCACTGCCTCCAGAGGCTATATATAGCTCTAAAGAAGAGCTATATACTTCAATTCAAGCCTGGGCAGCACATCATTGCTATGCTTTTCGTATTGGACGGTCAACAAAG